TATATATATATATATATATATATATATATATATATATATATTTATTTATTTATTATTTGTGATTAGTTCAATAAAAAAAAGGGATGTCCTACATATGACATGAAAATGAATCTCAAGGTGTCACGTTGTGGTACCCCCCATCCTGACCACCTAGCCTTGAACCCACTTCCTTAAAGCTCTCATCTTTATTTTTATTTTTGTTGACTAATTCAGTAATATGAATTGAACTTGAAATATAACATTGCTAACATCAACTACTAACCAACCAAGCCCAAGTCCAATTCTTAACACTCATCTTTATTGCTAGCCAAATCACACTTTGTGCTCATTGTGGAATTTTATTGTGTCCAGTTGAAATATGAAATGGCCATAGTAACATGCAAGAATCATGAAACAAATGGAATAAGAAAGTTTAGGAAATGGGTTGGGTTGTGGTGGTAGCACCTCTATATTTAGTTACCATGTTGTGGTTTCCAATCCTACCCACTGACACCTTCAGAAAAGCTAACTCGTAATCTATATGAAAAAAATGGGTAGGGGCCTGTCTTCCTCATTGAATAATAAAAAGAGAAAAAGAAAAAGAAAAGAATAAGTAAGCTTGGTTGGAATTCCAAGAATATAAGGAAGTTATACTAAAAAAAAAATGAAGTTGAAATAGAAATTGAGAAGAATATTAACTTATCGTGACTTTCATCATCATCATTATCATTATCATCAACAAAGCGTTTTTTCTAACTATTTGGGATCGACTATACGAATCTTGGTCCGCAATTCCGCTCTATCAAGGGTACTTGTTATAACTCTAATACTAACAAAAACAATGATTTTTATATGTTTGCAAGAATTATGAGCCTGTTTGTTTGTCTGTAGATTTGGCACTAGAGATAGCAGAAAGATATCCGACTTTGGCACATGCACGAGATGAGAGGGGTATGACACCAATGCATATCTTAGGAAGCTCCCCAAAGGCATTCAAGAGTGGAACCATGTACTATTCCACTAATATTGCGGTCTCCTCTTGGGTTGTGTTGGAGACCATTGGAAAGCTCATTTATTCATGTAAGTTATTAACTATAACAATTAGCTTAAGATTTAGTTAGCATAGCATATGTTCGATTTACGTATTTCACATTCTGAACAATTAGGGGAATTTTTATTATTTTATAATTCTATATTGCGAATCTTGAATGATCAATGTGTTTTTGTCATTTGTCTTAGATATTTAAGTGGGACCAAATTATAAAATGCTCTTATGTTCATTTAGGTTCCCAATATGAATAAAAGCATTTATATTATAGGGAAACAATCATACAGACACCCAATTTTCGAAACTTCTTTTGCAATAGCCCTTTCCAACTTTTTATCTTTCAAGTGGCATTAAATATCTCGACAAAAAACGAGTATACTAATAAAAGAAATCGATAAAATTTTCAGAACCAGTCCATCTACTGTTAATATGCTTCATCGGACTTTTAATCTCTCTCTCTTAAAACTGTATTTATTTTTCCTAAAATGTAGTGTCAATTTTATGAAGGAAAAGTATTCTATGACTCTTTAGATGGATGCTGTGTAAAGCGCACTAGGTTAAATCAGATATAGATGGAGCCAAAAACTTACCAAATAAAGCATATTTTAGCGTTCTATTTTTTTTATATATTTATGATCAGCTTGGCTTAAATGATTAATCCGATAAAAAATCCATCTTTAAGGTGAATTTTAGAAGGGGGCCGTACATGTACATATGAGTGGGCTGACTTATAGAAACCTTATCTTTTTATGAGGCATGGATTGGATTTTTTAAGGTTGTATAGTAATATGATGCAATAACCTTCAAAAACCATGTTAGGGTGTTTTGTTTGATCCAAATTTTGAAATATACACTATTTTCATTCTAATAAACAATCAAAAAAAGAAAAATTTGAAAATACAACCTAGAAAGTATGTTTTTAGCTTAATTAACATAGGCCGTTCATTTTGGTGAGATGCAGATCTAGGCCTTAGAAGGATTTTTTTTCTTTATCAATTTTTTTAAATGGCGTTAGTATGATTAGATGAACAATGTTAAAAAGATAAAAAAGATTTTGAGTTTGTAAATGCTATGATATTAAAATTCACCAAATGAATAGTCTAGATTCGTTATTGGAAGGGACTCATTTTGACCATATCTAGGGTTCAAATTTATTTATTTATTTGTTTATTTTTTTGAAATTTGATTTAATAGGTTTATCCAATGGTCTAACCAATTTTGATTGGACTAGACCCTCGTTGGTTTGTTGGCCCATGGCCATGTTATGCATATATTCTATTTGGTCAGGTGCTTATATTTGTTTGGAGCATGTACGTTAAAATTATTCCAATTAGCATGTGAGGAAGTATAGGGAATGACACAAGTCTATCACACAAAAATGCATACTTCGACGGCAAAGAAGGGAGTGGTGGTATCACCCCCCACACCTTAGCCACCATGTTGTGGTTTTCATACCCATTGACACGACCCCACTTACATCTTAAAAAAACTAACTCTTAAACTATTTGAAGAAATGGGTAGGGGTTGTCTTCCGATTGAATTACCCAAAAAAGAAAGAAAAAGAAAAAGGACTTCTAATTTTTAAGAGTAAGAGTCTCATCCGTAGTTATTAAAACAGGACTAGACCATTTGGTCTGACGTGTGTTACTATCAACCATTGCCTTGACAGATCCGATGCAAAGTAAGAACCATGTGTGGTAGAAAACCAATCAAAATGAATGTTTAACATATTTTAGTTTGTTGGATTGTCCCCGTTTTGAACGGTGTAACCAAGTAGGAAAAACTTTTTTTCTGATATAATTTTTTTAATAAGGTTAATATTTTTTATTAATAATTCTAAAAAATACAATGATTTACAAAGGTAATACATTGCTAGTTACACATTCATCATAATAAATCCCCCTCGTGGCCAACACATCTGCAATGTCATTAGCCTCGCGGTATACATGTTGTAAAAGAACCTCCATCCCATTAGAAATATCCATCACTTCAAGCCACTTGAATCTTAAAGCCAGGTTTCCATACTGTATTGCACCAGTTAATCACAGTCATTGAATTTCCTTCCACCATACAACAACAACAACTTAGGAAGCACTCTTGGACCAATTTCAGCCCATATAGCAATGCACAAATCTCCGCCTTATTAACTATAGTATTGTTGCAAGGGCCAAAAAAGCAAAAAAGAACCTCACCACAGCTACCCGGTATCACTCCACCTATACCTGTTGGTTCAGGATTCACCATTGAATTTTCATCAAAATTAAGCTTAACACTACTTTGCACCACCTATACCTGTTGGTTCAGGATTCACCATTGAATTTCCATCAAAATTAAGCGTAACACTACTTTGCAAAGGTGGAGTTCACCTACCTCTAGGCCTCACAATGATTGTCGACTGCCGAATAACATTCCTCAAGTTTAGTATAATGTCCACCTCAGAAATACCTTCCCCCTCTTTAGTGACCGAAAACTAGGACGAAACATTATGCATACTTATGTCTTTCATTTTCTTCTCTTTTGAGCTACCTCCTTCAAAATTCCGTTTATTTCTCTACATCTACACTTCCCATTGTAATGATGATCTAAAAATTTCCCAAATAATCTTCCCTCTCCTCAGTAAAAAAAGAAGTGAAAGATGTTCCAGAATATGAATGTATTCCAAGTAAATAACATCCCATCATATGAGCAGCCCACATCCACAGGCTACTTGTGTAAGAATAAGTGGTGTACATTTTCTTCATCCTTTTTACAAAGTAAGCATACTTTGACTATAATCTTGCCCCTCTTTTTCAAGTTATCAACGGTCAAAGTTCTCCCTGGGATTGACAAAAATCTTTGAATCCTAAGAGGAATATGCCATTTCTAGATTTTGTTCGACTTTCTCTCGGTCCATCTTGCTCTATCATGAAACAATAATTTGTAGGCAAGCCGATTCATCTACTACATTTCTTGAAATATGTACCTCCTGCAACTCATTTAATAACAAATGTGGTTTGTATAGAGCCGAGGCTCTATAACAATTAAAGTAAAGCGCACCTTCAAATAGTATTGAGAACTGTGGTTTCAAAACTGGAAATCTTTGTGATGGCTTTAGAATATATTTTCATTTTTAATTATAAAATTTAAGGGTCGAGCAGGTCATGAAAATCTTGAAATTGGCAGTCCAAAAATACGTCATAAGATGCACTATTTCCAAAACTTGAAATCCATTTTTTTTCCCATATCAGTGCATCTTGATATCGAGATGATCAATTTGAAGATATTTGAGCATCAAAACAACGTCTTCAACTGAAAATTTTGAGGTAAGCTCTAATTTGATTGTTTAGAGCCTCAACTCTATATAAAATTTTTCCTTTAATAATTGAGCCAACTGTTAAATAACAGTATCTGGCATTTGATTAAAGTCGCACTAAATATTCCAATTCAAAAGCCCATTTTGTCTCGAGATATATTATCCACCTTCACCAAAGGATTGCAACTTTAGGGAACACCTCTGGAAATCTCTACTTTAATGGTTTATCCCTCCAACCACTTATGAAACAAGAAATTCACAGTAGTCCGCTACCCAATGATCCATTTGAAACTTTCCATGACCATTGCTTTGCAAGTAGAAATACCTGCTCACTCTAGATCCACTCTTAATGAGATCAGTAGTACCATCTACCCCATACCAATATCCTCCTCCATATCTGATTTTCATCAACCTTATTTTAAAGATATTACTTTTGTTTTACATATATATATTTCTTAAAAATATGGTCAAACTCGTTCACCCAATAATTTTAATTAAACGGAACCTCTCACCGGTTTGGTAGCCGATCAGATACTGACAAATATGGTCCGATCCATGGGAGCATTAAAATGTTTATTGATTTCTGATACAGGTATTCCAGTATATGATAAATATAAAGGCAGGCCAATAAGTGCTAGAGAGGACATAGAGACTCCTGCATGCACGACAATCGACCATAGATGGAGAGATGATGGCAATTCTTCTCTAACCGAATGGACAAATAGCTTGGCACTTGGTATGTATGGAGTCGATTTAAATGAAATTGAATTTTATAATGCTCAAACTTTTTTATTCAACTTGAGCTTTATGATGTTCAAACATTTTTTTTTTAATGAAATTCAATACTTAAATGAGTATGGAAAGCAATGAGCAGGGGGCATGACTTGGCTACGAAAAACAAGGGCTCCAACAATCCGATGGCTGGGCCTGACCTTGGGCTATGGCAAGCACAGCCCCGCTTGGTCCATTTATATTGTTTTTAAGAAAACTTCCATCAACCAAAGCCCAGATGTGGTCCTAATTGGGCCAGACCATGTTAGTCCACGTTGGTGCGGCTCTGAGCTGGCCCGGAGCCATTCGGTCCTATTTGGGCCTACCTAGGCTAGGCCTAGATCCCAAGGTGGATTAGGGCTGCCCTAGCCAAGCTAGAGCTTTCCCTTTGCTAGCTCTAGTTTAGGATTCATGATAAGATGTAGCAAAGTTTTACCCTAGCTGCTTACCTAACGCAAACCACCTCTTGGGCTGGCGACGGGTTAACGAAAAGCTTAGGGTCCTCACCCTTATTAGACCACGTTGCTAGCCCTAGCTATGAGAAAGAAAATGTCATTTTGCACAAATCAGCATTTTAGAAAGTGTTGATCCGAATTAGAATTGTCCGGTCTGTGTTGGTTTTTGAGGGAACCGTCCCAGTTCCTTTCATATAATAGGACCCATATGGTTCCCTATGATAATCGCCCCATTCTGTCAGATAAGTGGACAGTTCTTTATGAGAATAGGCGGCTCTTTATGAGAACCAGCCGGTTTTCAATTCTATTAGAGAACCGACCAATTCAGTTAGAAAACCGGACTATCCAGCTTGCTTGCTATAATTTTTTTTCTTTGTTATTATTTTATATTTATTTTAAAAAAAATTTACTTCTACTTCAAGACCGTCCTCTCATTTAAGTGCTGGTTAGCATGGGGCCGTTATACCTTGCATTGGCTTCATGGGAGGCAAGGCCATTTTCATAGTGCTTAAGTTTCATTTTTTCCTAATGAGGGCCAAATGAAACAAGGGCGAAAAGGATAAAGGCAGATCGACACAAAGGCGATCAAATTCGAAAGAGGTTAAGAATATTTGATCGTATTTTAATTCACATTTCAATGTTTCCATTACATCTGGATTCGCCCGTAGAATCCAAACCATTTCTTTTTCTGTCCAGATCGGTGAGAAAAAGTTTACAACTCGGGAAAGGGGTTGGGGACGTGATGGTCATACCTCAGTTGCACATCGTTTAGAAAAATCTAGCATTTAAAAAACACTGATCAGTTAGAAAATCTAACATTTAAAAAACGGTAGGGGCCTGTATTTACCAAAGATATAAAGGCAACAAACAACTTTTGCTAGCATTCCTTGCCTTTTGCTTCTTCATCAAAGGTGACCATAGTCAAGTGTAGGTACCCAAAAAATTTCATACTGATGTTATGGCAAAAAATTGATGAACATATTAGAGCAACAAACTGTACCAAGTTAATTTTAAAAAAGATAAAAAAAACTTATAGGAACAAACAATTTTGCAGGCTGCCCATTGTTTGGACGGATCTACCAAACGAAGCAAAAGCACAAGTGGGTGAGAAACTTGGTAGAAGTCCTGTTGAAATTCGAGTCGAATTACAGTTACGAGAACGATGGACAATTTCCTTATGAGCTGAGGACTTCCATTAATGCCGGCCCTGAATCTTTATCAAAAAGGAATGGGATGGTAAGCCCTCTGGTTTTGGCTGCAAGGAAGGATATAGTGGAGCTTGTGAGAGAAATTCTTAGAGTGTTTCCCAGTGCAATAGAGTTCCTAGATGAAGATGGGAAGAACATAATGCACCTAGCAGTGGAGCACAGGGGAGAGAAAGTATTCTGGTTGTTGAGATCGATGGGCACGCTTGTCTGCAGTATGGCCATGGGCATTGACCGACACGGCCGCTCTATCTTGCATCTAGCAGCAAAGCTTGGGGAATATCCACCATACCACACACTGGCGAGTCCACAATATATGCAACGGGAGCTACTCTGGTTCAAGGTAAAGTATGTGTACCAATTAACCTTCAAATAATCCTGAAAAAAAAAAAGGATTAATTAGAGTATGGCCTTGATCAAATTTCTCTTCATATACTTGTTGCATCTACATGCGATTAGTAGAGTTATCTTCATATGTTATTATCTAAATGAAACTGATATTGAATAGAAGAGGAAGAACATATCTAAGCTAACACTGGATGAATTAACATGGCTCTTTTTCCCAGCGAGTGAATCATGTGTGTCCCCCTCATATAGTGGCACACATAGACTCACATGGCCACACTGCTCAAGAGTCGTTTGCTGCAACCCATAGTGGCCTGGTGAAAGACGGTGAGGTATGGCTCAAACAAAGTGCACAAACATGTGTGATCACATCCACATTGATCATAACCATTCTGTTTGCTGCAACCTTCACAGTGCCGGGTGGTAACCATGAGACCACTGGTATCCCCATCTTTCTGCATGATAAGAAGTTCAAGATGTTCATGGATTACTTGAACTGGACCCTTTTCTTCTCTAGCCAAGCACTGGCATTTTTCACATCTGTCTTAACAACGCGCTATGACGCAGAAGACTTCTATATCATGCTGCCTATGAAATACTTTGCTGCTAACACCTTTCTTTTTCTATCAGCTTGGGGTACTATCATAACCTTCTCAGTGGCATACACTATTGTAGCCGACTCCATTTTTGGCTCCTCTCATCTGGTTGGCATGACATTAGCCGCAATTTCGACACTAACTTGGATTCTTACATATATGGATGGCATGACATCCACCGTTAGCTCGACCTGCCTTATATTCTATGAAGAACTCAAATGGAAAGTGGGAGTTGAAGGCCCACTGAAGTCAAAACTCCTCTAGAAAATAAATTGACCTGGCAAATGGGTTCTTCTTCTTGTTAAAATAAATGCTTGATAGGTGCTGGCTACCAATCCTTCCTATGGCCTGGGCCTCTTGAATGATTTCACTCTTTCTTCTGGAATGGAATGGAGCAGTGTGAAGATTCATTAGGAGAAAGAGCAGCAGTCTCAAGAGGATGATTAATGTGATATAAATGAGATAGCAATGGTTGATCCATTGAGAACTTCGAAAGAGTACTAAGTTTGCCTCACTTTAGTCTGGACTGTATGTTAAAAATTATTATTCATGTGGGGAACTTCAAGTTTCTGTGGTCATTCTAAACCTTGCCCATAATTTTCTTATAATGGCACTGCCTTGATTGGTTTATAGTGTAGATAGTGTTTTTTTTGGTGTGGCAATGGGCTGGTACGGTGAGGTACGGTGAGGTTGATGCTGATCCATACCCAACCTAATTAGGTGAGACCTGGACCAGACCCGAGCTGGGTCCAAGTGACTTGGACTAGGACAAGAAATTAAAAAATAAAAAAAATATTTTGTATTTAATGTATTTTTTATATAATTTTATGCTGGGCCGGGTTGGGTCGGGTCGACCTGGATCTATACTTCATAACCCTTTCTTTGCCATTCTACTCCCCGAACTAGGAATGCCATCGAGGCGTATATACTCGTTAGTGGGATTGGTAGGTCAAATCCGTCAGCTTGTCCTTCTGAACGGCTATCGTTTGTCGTTCAGAACCCGAGACGACAATAGTCCATGTTGGACCTGAACCCGACTTGCTGGGTCCAAAACTGGGACCTAGACATAGTTCGGGTCGACCTGACAGGTTGTCAAGTCGACCTGACCCGATTGCCACCCCTAAAGAGAACTGCCTATCATAAAAATATTTTGATCATGTATCTAAAAGGTGTTTTTCCTTTTTTTGTTGTTTTTCCTCTCATGTATCTAAAAGGTTTCTTTCAAAGTCCAAAGCCCTCTGTCTTTTCTCGCTCATCACTCAAAGCCTTTTTTTCCCCTTTATCATTTTTGCCATATCTTCTCACTTCTAATAATATTATGACCTCTATTCTTTGCCTTTCTATTGTATTTCTTCATAAGAATTTGAAATTGGTTTTCTTTAAGAACTTGGGCATCCATTTCAAAGACCCTCCTCTCTTTCCCAGCACTTAATTTTACAGATATTTTTTTAAAAAAATTCATGTTCTTAGCAAAATGAATAAAGAGGGGAGAGATGGCGGTGAGGGAGAGTTGAGATTGCAGAGCATCAGTGCTATTCCTGCACAGCTCTACTTGCACCATGAACAATATGCCATCCATGACTTTTTGGCAGGATTAATGGATCTAGAGGAGAGCATATCAGTGTTCTCTACATGACAGTCATTGAGTTAGACTACCATTTTGTACATAAAAAAGTTCCTATTAGATTACTTGTCACTCGGTTTGTTTCCTCTCGCAATCAGGTAGCCGATATCTGCACCAAGTTATTGATTTGAGATGTTTTTCGAGATCTTTACTTCAAACTCGGACTTCAAATGTCTCGATAGTGGAGTTTGAGGCGGAGTAATAAAAACAAAACTCAAGAATCTTAGTTTTTAAAAATGTAATAGTAGAACTATTATTGTTTCATTTTGAAAGAATGTAACAAGATATAAAAGTGTATATTGAATGTCATAAGATAAAAAATTGTATATAGAATGTAACAAGAATAAAAAAAAAAAAAAATCTATTATGTCATTGTATCATCATTGTATATACAATGAACCACAATGAAAGTGTGGGGCACAATTATTTTTTTTAAAAAAGTTCATTTCTCTTTCTAAAATTTCTTTAGCAATGGGTTGAACCATGGTCAAGACACATAACCTATAAACCCTCCAATCCAGTTCTAAAAAATCATTAAGTACAATAACCACAACATTGAGAGTGATCATTTTTTCAAAAAAAAATGATACATTGAAAATTTTTGAATTTCTTGAAGATACATACAAAAACATTTATAAACAAAATATTTGGAAGCTTTAGACTTTATAAATAAAAATAAAAATATACGTTAAGACTATAAAAAATATTTTCAGCATTGAAACCACATTTCTCGGCACTATTTGAAGGTAGGCTCTAACTTGATTGTTTAGAACCTAGGCTCTATACAAACCGCACCTGAAAATTAATTACCACCCAAGAAAGTCCTTAATTATTTCTTTGAGTACATGGTTTAACAAGAGTCCTGAACACCTTAGACATGACCAGACAAGTTTTGATGCTCCAAATAAGCATTTTCGTTAGGGGAGTGGAACCACAATGTAAACTTACCTTTGTAAACACCTGCAGTGTGAACCCGAGTGTCCTACTTTTCATGCATGTCCGTGTCCAAGACACTTTTTATTGTGTTTGGGGTCCACCAAGTCACAATCCAACTCACCCTCACCTAAAAATTGATGTTCCATATTGGACCATGGCAACAATGTGAACTGGAGCAGTTTGTAAGCCTTTCTAGAGTCAATTTTATAGGATTAATTAATTTGGTGCTTCCTTTTGAGCTCCAAATCGGTTTTACTAGGTAAATAGAAATGATATTTAAGATGTAAAAGTGTGAATTGAGACTGAGTCTTGAGGTCAAAGAAATCCCTTTGACATTTTCCTTTACTCATGTACCAAATGTACAATTTGGCCATGTGAAATAACCAAATCCTTTTGGAAAATTATTTAACGGACCCCTATCCTAATTGACCAAGACCTAACCGGACCAGCAGACTAATGCCTTGGCGAACTTGGTCTAAAGTAAAATTAAGTTTAATAAAAATCTAGTAAAAAATAATATTGGAGTGGTTGAATCGGAACATTTTGACTTATTCAACTTGTTCGAAAAACTTTTCAGAGGTATTTTGGTTATTTTATTTTATTATTATTATTATTATTATTTGCATTATTTATAGGTGCACGTTTAAGGGAGGAGTGGAGGCACAAAATTTGTGTGAAAATGTTTAGTAAAAAAAATATAAATAAAATAGGAGGAGTGGAGGCCCAAAATTTGTGTCAAAATGTTTAGTAAAAAACATATAAATAAAATAGTGTAGTCGCATGACATTGTGATTGGGGCAGGGTTGGAGAGGGAGACATAGGTTTTATACATTAAGGAAGTATAAAAAGCTTGCGCTATGCATATATCTTAAACCAAAAGTGTTTGATGAGCCAGCCTACTCATCTGTAGATATGCGCCCCCTTTCAAAATCCATATTAAAAATGGATTTTAGATCCAAAATTTTAGGATTTGTTAATCTAAATTATTGTGATTATTTTGAAATTGGAATTTTTATTTTTGAAAAATAAAAATTATATATTTTTTAATATGCTTTTCTACCATCCATTTTGACGAAGCACTTTTTTTTACTTCAATCTCTAAGATGGACGTCTGATGCATGAGGAGACATACTTGTTTTCTTAAGTTGGCCGCATCATCCTCTATTATTTCTTTTAAGGATGCATATGTCGAAGTATCAACCCCGCAAGAACCAGTACCACATGCTCAAATCAAAGGGGAAATGGGCAGATCCACACAAAGTCAATGAAATTCAAAAGAGGTTACCGATGTTTGATCCTCATATTTTCATGCACGTTTTGCGTTTTCGTTGCCTTTGGATTCGTATGTAGAATCCAAAACCTTTCTTTTCTGTCCAAATTGATGAGAAACATACATGGAAAGCATACCAATTCGAACGAAATGTGAACACAGACAAATAAATAGTGAAGTCAACACATCTGTAGTATGTTTTTTCTTTTTTGAAAATAATATCTAGCAATTTTTTCTTTGTAATCAAATGTAACTGAAGTCAAGTGTAGGTACCTAAGATGTAATGGCAACAAAAAACTTTGCTGCCATTCCTTGCCTTTGCTTCTTCATCACAGGTAGTCATAGGTGCCAAAAAAATTCATATTGATATTGGCAAGACATTGATAAATATATGAGTGCAAGGAACTGTACCACGTTAATTTTCAAAAAACTTATTGCAACAAACTATTTTGCAGGCTGCCCATGATTTGGACGCATCTACCAAACAAAGCAAAAGCACAAGTGGGTGAGCAAATTGGTGAAATTCATGTTGGAATTGGAGGCAAATTACAGTTACGAGAGCGACGCGCAAAATCCCTACAAGATGAAGACTTCCACTATTGATCGTCCTGAATCTTTATCAAAAAGGCATGGGATGGAAAATCCTCTGATATTGGCTACCAGGCAGGACATAGTGGAGCTTGTGAGAGCAATTCTTTAGTTGTTTCCAAATGCTATAGAGTTCTTAGATGCAGAAGGGAAGAACATAATGCATTTGGCAGTGGAGCATAGAGGAGAGAAAGTATTCTTGTCGTTAAGATCGGTGGGCACGCTTGTTTACAGTATGGTCATGGGCATTGATCGACTCGGCAACTCTTTCCTGCATTTTGCTGGAAAGCTTGGGAAATGTCAGCAATCCAAAGCACTGGCGTGTCCACAACATATGCAGAGGGAGCTATTCTGTTTCAAGGTTAAGTATGCATACCATTTAAACGACAAGTGATTTCCCGAGAACACTTAATTTTGGGTTCCACCACCTCAGAAACCAATTCTATGTGGGAGATAAAAAAAATCTTCTACTCCCCAGAATTAATCCTTCTCTCCTAGGTTTGTTTCGTTTCGATCTCAAAACACCCCATGCATTACTCATCTCAATGGCATTGGTCTAATTCTATATGGGGTCATTGCGGATTTATAGAGCTCCAGATCTTTCGTTTTTTTTTTTTTTGGAAGAAATAGTTTTCAGTTGTTAGAATATAATTTTGAAAATTTTCATATCATTCCCACCTTGTCCCATGTTCTAAGCTACATGGAACACAAGGTTCAACTCAGATTGCCCAAGAAAATTGCTCTAACAAAATGTTGGGGATTACATAGGCTTTATTTGGACACACAAAAGCTTAGGAATAGGCTTTTTTTTTTCTTTTTATTTACCTTTAAGAGTGGTTAAGAAATAAATGATCCTAACATAAAGAGGTCTTTCAATTTATACTCGTTTCAGTAAATCAAATTCAAGTGTTCCTCAACAAAAAAAAAAAATTATTTTCCTTAATCAAATTCATATACTTGTTGCAACTACCTGCAATCAGTAGAGTTATCCTCATATGTTATTTAATGAAACTGATATTTAATAGAAGCGGAAGAAAATATCTACACTAACATAGGATCAATCAACATGGCATCGAGTGAAGCATGTGTGTCCTCCTCATATGGTAGCACATAGAGACACACATGACCAAACTGCACAAGAGTTGTTCACTGCAACACATGGTCGCCTGGTGAAAGAAGGTGAGGTGTGGCTGAAAAAAGGTGCACAATCATGGGTGATTGTAACCATACTGATTATCGCCTGCCAGGTGGTAACAATCAGAATGGTGAACCCATGTTTCTACTCGATAAGAGGTTCAAGGTGTTCATGGATTACTTGGGCTGGACCCTTTTCTTCTCTGTCTCATCACTAGAATTTTTCACATCTACCTTAACAACACGCTATGATGAAGAAGACTTCTATATCATGCTGCCCATGAAATTCCTTGCTGCCACCACCTCTCTTTATCTATCGACTTTAGGCAGTATCATAATCTTCAGCTCCTCTGATTTGTCTGGCATAATATTATTCCTAACTTCGTCACTGATATGGATTCTTACATATATTGATGACATGATATCCACCAGTACCTCGATCTGCCTAACATTCTTTGAAGAACTCGAAAGGAAAGTGAGAGTTGGAGGTCCTATGAAGTCAAAACTCCCCTAGGAAATAAATTGAACTTAGCTTATGTGTTTTTTATCTTGTTATTTTCATGATGTTGTACAATTGCTCTATTTTTCATGATGTTGCACAATTGCCTTATTGAAGAGTTGTAAATTTATGAGTTGTATTTATTTTTATTATGATTTAACAAAAACAAGTAGGGAGCCTTCTCCCCCAATGATTTATCCAAAAAAAAATGAATGCTTGATAATTGGATGCCAATGATTGATCCATTGTGACTACTTAGTTTGTTGGTCACTTTACTCATGATTGTATGGTAAAAATGATTATGCATACGGGGAACTTCAAGTTTTAGTGGTCATTCTAAACCTTATACATAATTTTCTAATTATATAGCATTGGCATGATTAGTTATGGTGCATAGAGAATTCTAGATAGAGAAAGGAATTTCTAAGAAGATAATTGTGCCCCACATTAATCTATTGAGGTGGTTCTTTCATTGTAGGGAAATGATCTAATGCAACGGTTGTATAGTAGTATAATGCAACCACACTTCTAGAAAACTATATTTTTGGCATTTGTATGACACCAAATTTTGGACACACATTCTCTTCATTCTCATAGTCAATCCTACGAAAAAGAATCAATTTGAACCCTAGATATGGTCAAAATTAGTACCCCTCCAACAATGAATCTCAACCATCCATTTGTTGAATTTCAAGATCTAGGCCTTAACAAATTCAAAATCACTTTTTTTTTTTTTAGCATTATTAATCTAATGATGATAACACTATATAAAAATTTTGAGAATAAAAAAATCCTTTTGAAGCCTATATCTAACCATCTCAATAAAATGGACAGCTTATATTTATTGGGCTAGAATAAAAACCTTCTAGAGCAGTTTTTCATAATTTTCTTTTTTGTGATTGTTCTTCAAAATAAAAGAGTGTACATTTAAAAATTTGTGTCAAACAAATGTCTTTAACATGATTTTTGAATTGTATATATAATGGTAATAAAATGGTATAATGTGCATTTTCCTATATGTATACTTGCAATATAGATTTTCCTATCTTGCTACTTTCTACGCTGACAATATTTCAATATACACTTTTCTATCTTGTAGCATTCTACAATGGTAGATATCATAAGGTTTATAAAACAAATAAAATAAAATAAAATAATAATAGATTATATAATTTATAAATAAATAGCACATCTAAAATATTCGAGTCGGGTTGGGTCAACCTAGACACGGACCCAACCCGACCAGACCTAACCTAATGTTGAGTCCCTAGTTATTGACTCGGGCCATGAAGATCATAGTAAGAACATTATTCATTACTTCATTATGAAACTGTTGAGCATTTTAAAGAAAAATTACAAAAAAAAAAAAATAGGGGAAAAAAGAAGAAGAAAAAAACAAAGAAAAGAAAGAATAAAAATGTCAAATGCAAAAAATAAGGAGATTTTTTTTAACAACTGTCTTGTTACTCATATGATGGTATCATTCCAATTCTTGTATAACAAAAATTCTAACTTAAATAAAACAAAGGGACAAGAGACATTATAGGTTTTGTATGGCAATGGACTTTTGAGCCGAATATATAAGGGGTCGTTTGGATACCTATAAATATATTGTTTCTGAAATATATTACTCATATAATACATTGGGTAGTATTTAGATGCAATTTTGGAAATACATTGCTACTGTTTCATTATGTCTAGAAGAAATATGGGAGATAGTGGTGCAACATAAGCAAATTAGCTTTAATGGGGATCACTACGTAATAGAGGCAACTTGTAGAGAGAGTAAATTGGTTCAGTCTGGTGAGAGAAATCAAAAAACGAGAGGGAGAAAACCGTTAATGGGAAAGAAGAACCCCTCAAATTGAGGACAAGAAGAAAGTAAAGCAACATAGATTAGAAAAAATGGGTATCTCAAATTGATATTGAGTTCCAATCTTACTCTATTGATTCTAGGAAACGAGAGAATAATAGCGTGACAAATATTAGGTTTGGTTCTACACAGTGATGAGCCTAATAGATTTCACTTATTTTTGGGAAATCTTATATAATTTATTTTTATTTTCTTATTTAATAGATTTCACTTATTTTATGGAAATCTTATGTAATTTATTGCCATTTTTTTACAATTCAAGTACCCAAGCAATATGTTCCTTATAATAGATTTTAAGGTACCCAAACGGCCCTAAAGGATGGGGTTTTTATGAATAAGCATACTCGTATATACACTTGTAGCCCCCTCTAAAATTCACCTCAAAGATTGATTTTTTATTCAAAATATTAGGGATTTATCATCTAAGCTAAGTTGATCATAAATATTTTAAAATGTGTTATTTTTTAGGTTGTTTCTTGCACCGTTATTGGATTTGACCCATGGAATTTTACCCAATGTCCATCTTGAAGATGGACGTTGAAGAGTCAATGGGCTCTTGCAACCGCTAACTCATATAACATTTTTCCATAAATAAATGGTCTCTTTATATAAATGCTCGTAACCCGGTACCGGTCCCTGGTGTATCCCGAGAGGAATGAGATGGAAATTGTCTCTTTATATCCTTTTCTATATATGTATATTTAGATAGATAGGAGAAGGACACAAATAAATAGGTACCAAAAGGTAATATACTTCCCTAGGGGTATACCTCCACATGTAGGATTAATTTTCGAATATTGAATTTTTGGGAAGTAAATTCTTCAACCCCTAGATTAACTTTAATAATAATAATAAAATCCTAATTTTCCCCTTTATGCAGGTGAAAGAAATAACGCCTTAAGATTGAATAGAGAGCATCCAATTTGTTGAGCGAGAGATATAAGTACCTAAAAAAAAAACTCAAAATTCAAAATTTTTCTTTTGAGAATAATCACCTATTGATTTTCAGGTGGCTCCCAAAATATCATATTAAAAAAAATTCTCCCAAAATAAGTATTATGCATAGTTTCCGCGTTAAATAAATTGATAGAGAAGAGGGTCCACATTTTTTATTTTTTTTGAAGGTTCACATACGCTTTTCATTAACTATAAAAAATTTACCAGAAATAAATGAGAGGGAATATTAGAAAAAATTAACTACCAAGGTAGCATGGTTAACATCCCCTTGGCTAAGCAATCTACCTCCTCATTGGCCTCCCTGTAACAATGATGAATATCGACATTTTGGAGCGATATATTATTCATAATTTCATGAAATAAAGATTTTAATCTCCAAGTGACATTGAAGACTCTACTATTCCAAGCTATCACATTTACCGAATCTCTTTCGATAATCTTTATACCATCTTATCTAGAAAGCAATTTAAGTGCTTCTAATAGGCCACGAGCTCCTGCCTCATTAGCAGTAGTGACACCACAGATGCCAAATAATGCACACAAAATAGGCCATGAGCTTCTGCCTCATTTGTTGTAGTGAAGCCACAGGGGTCAGAGAATGCATGCAAAATGTGACCCGAAGTATTTCTTATGAGTCCTCCAAACCCTGCTAGGCCAGGGTTACCAAGGCTACTCCCATTAGAGTTCATTTTGATCAAATTTGATCGTGGTGGAAGCCAAATTGCAGCTCTACGATTTGTTCTAACCAAACCCAAAGATGCAACAGTTAAAGGGTTATTGATAACTCGACTCTTCGGAGTAGAGCCACTCTCTTTATGAGCCGTAAACCAGTATGCAACTAATGCCAAAATGTGAAATTTAAGCATAAGCAACACTTTAATGGTTCTTTTAAACACCCTTTTGTTTCTCTCCTTCCACACACCCCACAAGATGCTCACCCACATAAATCTCCACAATATTGTACCCATCTTCGGGATGCCCAAAGTCATCCATTGGATGATGAGCGATCTACAATCTTCAGGCAGCGGAAGGTATAGGTTGAAACTTTGTCAAGCCCAATTCCAAAGACCAACAATGAAAAGGGCAGTGAAAGAAAAGATGTTGGGCTGTTTCATTGATGTAACAATCTAGATCAGTCGGATCAATGACCTACATTGCAAAGATCCAGATCAGCAGATCCAATGAAAAATTACTCAAAAAATAATTAAAAGATAAAATCAAGGAGACTCAGGGGATTGGGGATTTGGATTGCTCAATCCCACCCGAATTAACACCCCATTTGGATTGGGGATTTGGATTAGCCATTTTGAAGACTGACCCAGCCTGGACTTGCACTTCTGAACTAGATTGGGTCTTAATTAGGGGTGGCAATGGACCCGGACCCAACAGGTAGACTTGAGTCAGGTTTAGGTATGGGTCCAAAAATTGAGTTCCCTTAAAACAAAGTGTCCAAAAAAATACAAGTAATATATTCCCCAAAAAAAATACTCAAAATAATTGGTAGATTTAGAAGAAGAGTAAGCCAATAAAAAAAAAAACAAAAAATGTCTTTCTTCAAACCCATAGCATCCTTATAAAGAGCAAGAGAGAGATTAAATTATACTAAAGATTTAGATAGCTAGAAATTCAATACCATATTTGAATTTGCTTAAGCATTTTGATGCTTTTTTATGCCTTTAGAAGTTTGATTAATTTTATTTTTTATTTTTTATTTTATTGGCATATACAACATAGCATTTAGGATGGACCACTACTTTATATAATTAGGTCTTTTTGTTTTCTTTTAATTAGCTACAATCCCATATCAAGGGCATTTAGTTTTTTTTCTATTGAAAAATAATCTTATACTTTGGTTCACAGTTCTTGTTATTTGTTAATTAGTTATTGTGTTAAGTGTTGTTGTTGTTGTTTCAATTTATGCTCCTAATAAATCTATGATAGGTTTTGTGATGTGACAATAAAGTAAGTATTGTTGTTAAGTTTATTGAAAGTTTCAACAAAAAATTATCAAGTATTAATCTAATGACATTAGTTAGGTTATAAAATTATTGTTTAATAGTTTTAATATATCTATAGCATCAAATCATAATCAATGTTTACATATTTTTTTAATCAAATCCAAAATATTCAGGATTTGTTTTATTTTTTTTTAGCAATCCATATTTTTTAACCGATTTTTTCTCTGATTTTTAAAATAAAATCGATTTCCTATCGATATTTTGGTCTGCCAATATTTTACTTTCTCCATGTCTCAGACGCCATTTATGGTCTCTGCAAGAGAGAGCGCAAGATTCAGAAGGTGGAGAGAGAGAGAGAGAATTGGATTTTTTTTTCCTCTATAATTTGAAGATCAGAGGGTGTGTGAAGAACCAACAGTATGGTTTCTCCTTTTAGCGATCTCCCAAACGATTTGATAATCAAAATCCTTTCATTACTCCCCGTTGAATCCATCCTAAAGTTCAAAACAGTATCAAAATCATGGAACCAACTTCTCTCCTCTCCCTTTTTTGCCACAATTCATTCTCTCTCCTCTTCCCCTCTTTCCCAACCTTTCCCTCTCTTCTTTTCCACCATTAGAGATGACAGTCGAATCTACTACATCAGAAATACCAGTACTCTCTCTCTCCAATGGTTAAATTTCAGGGGAGCTGGCCACCTAAACTGCATAGCTTGCGACAATGGCATAATATGTTTCCATTGTAGCTTCTGCTCCACCGAATTGCTCTTCGTTGGAAACCCCGTGACTTCCAAGTACAGGTGCCTTCCTGGGCTTGGTGGACTTGGTGAGGAGTTCTTAGTGGGGAATATTGGCATTAGTTTCGACCCCATTACTCAAAATTTCAAGATACTGGTTCGCGGGCGACCGAAGAGTGAGAAAGCGGGTGCAATGCCCTTCGAATGGCGACTTTTCAGCTCGGTGAATGAGTCATGGAAGACAATTCAAGACCCTGGGTATAATCTTGAGAATGTGAATTCCATGGTTTGCGTTGGCAATACTTGCTATGTTCTATCGTGGACTAAGCTTAGTTTGTTGGCTTTTGATCTAGAAAGAGAAACGGTAGAAGAGTTACCGAATCCAGTTTTAATTAGCCCCAAGAGTTCAGATAGAGAATTGTCGTATAGGTTTTCGGTGCCCCAAAAGTGGGGAGAGAGGGTTGCAATGGGAGAGATAACAGGGGACCTGAAGTTGAAGATGTGGGTTTTGTGTAGAGAGAGAGAGTGGGTCGAAGTGATCGTTGGGAATTTGCAGAACTTTGGTCTTGGAATTGATGACTCTCTCTCTCCTCTTCTCTTAGTTGGGGAGACTTTCTTCCTGCACAATGCAAACAAGAATATGATGTATGCTTATAATATTAAAAGTGGGAGGCTGATCATGCTTCAGGATAATGTTTCAGGCCAAGTCGACAACCTCGTGCTATATCAACCCACCCTCTTCTCTTGTTTCTTGTAAAAACCAGTTGCTCCAGATCAATAATCTCTCTCTCTCACACATTCACACTAGTTTTGAGACTTTCTTTCAATTTGTTTGGGTACCAAAATATTTATGAACCGAGAAATCAGCAAATGTGATGATGCATGTAATGACTGTCATGTATATTTTGTTTATTGGATTTGGGGTATTTTCTTTTTGGTGTTTGAGAAGCGGTTACGATCAATATATATTTTTCGATTATTATTTCTTTTCTTTTCAAATAGTTGACAAGAAAGGGTAGTTCGTCAGAAATACTTTTGTATATTGGATTTTGGGCACTAGCCGATCCCAAGTAATTGGCATAAGGCTTGGACGATGACGATGGATTTCGGGTACTTTGTTTTTTGTGTTTGAGAAGTGGTTATGATCATGGTAATGTATATAGTTCTCATTTTTATTTTATTTCCCACTTAGTCAATGAAGAAAGGCTAGGTTATCTTGTTAGGGTTTTTTGGGACAGACATAGGGTTCAATCACTTCAACGTCCTGACCCAAATGGATATGCCTGCCACTGGGCGGAAGCCTAGCCAATGTATCCACCACTAAGTCGAAGCCTAGAAGATGGCAACTTCTGTGTCTTACCACCACACATAATCCACACCACCACCCCTGTTCCCCAATTGGTGTTTTGCCTGAACTTGTCTGTCAACTTGCTTGCTTGTATTTATCATAGTCCACTTCAAGGCTCTAGAAGATTCTTGCAATACCCTTCCCCCATCGGAAGAAGTACCATCATCACCATCATTTAACCCTTATCCCAACTATTTGGGATCGGTTACATGAATCATGCTCCGCTATTTTGTTCATTGGTTCAGGATTCATGACGAGATTAGGCAAAGTAAGTATATTGTATGCATAAACTTTGTAAGCAATTGAAGAATTTACATTTTGAAGAATTTGGTTTTATAATTGCGCTTGCCTAAGTTTTTTTTTTTTTGGCTAATGTCAATTACTAACCACTCAAGCCCAAGTCCAAGTTCCATTGAAGTTCAATATTTGATTTCTCCGAGTTGGATTATTTTGTTGGGTTTTACAAGCATTTAAGCTTTTCAAAATGTCAAAAGAGTATGTACCACATTCTTCGACAGACATTACAAGCTTACATATTAAGCATTATTACATAATCTCAAAATGGTAATGGTTTAAATTGGACAATTCATGTTTATTTCTTTAACTCTGATTGCGCCTTGCAAGGTCATGAAACCTTGATTATGTTCAATGGGGATAGTTCCAGGATTATTTCTTATGAACTTGGGGAAGAGCATCTATTGCTTCACATGGAATAACTAATTTCATGCCTTGTGTGAAGTTTTGAATGACTTGAGAAGATAAGTAATGTATTCGTTAGAGGAATGGCCAATCTCTATATGACTCAGGGAGAAGAAGATTATGGCGTAGATGCCAGCTACATAAAAAGGTCATTTGAATTATGAATGGCACATGTTCATGACCAACTTAAAATATGAGCATCAGGTATTAGATCCTAACTTTGGGCATCTCAACTTTGTTAGCTTAAAAGTTAGTTGCAAAGAATGCATGGTTATTATCTATAGATAGTCTGAATCATATACGTGAAGATTGTATTTATGGAAAGCAATGCAGAGACATCCCGAGTTGGAAACTCACAGTGACCATGAAGGCTGTTTCACCACACACATACTGATACATGACATGTCTATTGAGTGCGCAATCAACTGATAGCAGAGGATACTTTCTTACATCTTCCAAATGATATTTACCTTTTTAGTTGGGTATTCCTTTGACTGGAACCCATGGCCATCTTGGTTCGGTCATGGGTCCTAACCACTCCGACAAGCAGCCCAACCCTTTTTGATTATTGCTGATTTTAGTTGGAAAATATGGGCATGCATTGGGAACAAAAATCAGAAGCCTTTCCATGCAAGCAATTTAAGACATCTTGCAAAACAAAGCAGTATATTTCAAATGTCTAGCGATTTTTATAAGCAACAGGTGATGAAGCATGACTTTCAGATATCCTACAAGCCTTAATGAAATGAAGATGCTAGAACACAATGATCTATTATAGAGAAAAGGATGGAGTTAAAAACCAAGGTATTTTTTATGGAACTGTCTAGTTGTTGCTATTGCATATTTGGTACTATGGTACTTAGACACGTCCACGGGCATCCTAATCTGATGTGCGTCTATGTGTATTGCACTTGTATAGGCATAAAACCCAATACAGCAAGACAAATCCCTATAATTATTATGTAGCAATAAAACAGTAAACTTTTAATGTGTATATAATAGAAAGTTTATAGTTATCACACATGGATGTGGTTGGTGCAGCTGTAGACCACTATAAGTTGGCACGGGACATCTATGGTCAAAACCCACCCTGGTGCTCTATATATTTTCTTTAATATCACCAGGGTTTGTAAGTGTCCACGCATGTCCAAGTATTAACATGTGTGGACATGAGATACTTCCTCAAAAATGAAGGGATGAATCATGGAGGGGGACTAAAGTTAGGTATCAGACTGATTTAAGTGTCTGAATCAGTTGGTTAGGCTTATACCCCAAAACAGAGTACGAAGTTGTACATCCATGTAGGAGAGTGTGATTTTATTGCTTGTAGTATATAACTCTAAATAAAAAAGCACTACATGATTTTTAAACTTGAGTGATTTATATACAGATGCCATTTAGGATACATGTATATGTAAAACGAAACCTGTTATTTCTCTTAAAGGCACAATCCCACCTTTTAGCTTATCCAACAGTTTTGGATAATCAACGAGCCCTGTTAATTGCAAGTTTGGGAGCTCTGCATCCATTCATCCGCCCTCTAAAATAATCTCCGACTTATCAGATCCATTATGCACAGCAAGCCATTTCATGGATAGACTCCTTAACGACACGGCTTTCTGCAGCATATAGTAATTCTAAGTTTGGAAGACTTGGAATACCTTGTCCTCCTCACTTAGACATGGCTTACCTGTATCTTTTATGTTCTCACTCATCTCTCCCTTGTCTGTAGACTCCCATTGCATCACATCTCTCAAAGCTCTATATTTGTTAAGGATAAGTTTTAAGTGAGGTCGAGGAAGATGTGTCACTTGCGAAATCCATTGCCTTATTGGATCATGAGGGTAGTATGCATGTGTTGGTTAACAATCCCAAAAGGATTATGATGTGTGAAACACACGGGGAAGGATAGTATTCTCTCTCTATTTTCAAACCTCATAAAGAAGTCAAGTAATGGCAATAAGTTCATAAGTGGGGGTTCAAAGTTTGGCACTTGCCTCAATCTTATACCCTTCTCTGCATCATGAGAGTAATATGCTTTCGCTGATTTAGGATATCAAAAAGTATTATGACGAGTGAAACCCAATGAAGTGTAGAATTTTCTTTGTACTTTCAAAACTCATAAAGAAGCTAAGCAATAATGATAATTTCATAAGTGGGGTCCAAAGTGTGGCACTGGCAGGGGCACTCGCACTTGCCTCAAGCTTATAATCTACGCCCCCCATCATCTCCCTCTTGGGCAAAATATTTGGGAATGTTTAACCTATCAAACACTGTCTTTTCCCAGACTGGAGAGCCTAGATGGATCTCGACACGTGGGTGGAACTTAATTCTCCATCTATTTGATTATTTCTAAATGTGAGTTGTCAAAGGATTATACACCGGCAACTGGTCAGATAATTGTTCGTATGGAGCAGTCATTTCGTAATCCAGATTCCTTGCTGACTTCTTGAAAAAGTCTCTCAATTGTACTCACAAACTTAAGAAGATCGTAGGCCTAAAATGATAGATGTAAGGATGGTCAAATGAGTGACCTAGGATATTTACTCAAGAGAGAGTGATTTGGGATAGGTAAGCAGCACAATCAAATTGTGAAAAGGTTAGGTATGCTTAGTTTAGTGGTTATCTTGAAAGAGGAATTCTCAGACAGAGATATCTTGTAGGTTGGTACTGGTATGTACAATGTAGAATCAACTCTGGCAAATGAAAATTTAGCCGCACCTCAAATCTCTCTCTCTCTCTCTGAGAAAAAGATAAAAAACAGAAGCCCGAGATAGCCTATACTTCGTGCCGTTTAACTGTTGTATGGAGATGATCGTGTTGTGGCAGAGGCACACCCAGACTACAATTCACTTCCACAATCCATTTTCTGAATTGACAATGGAAACTTGTTACCTATAGGTGTACGAGGCTCTTTCCAAATCAATTTTGAACAATAGATTCACAATAAGAGAAATTTAAAGTTGAGAAAATAAAAGGAAAAATATGTAGAAATGTATACAATGAGACCATTTACTTTTGATTCAAGGAGGTCACAATCATTATTGACCTTTGGATATGAAATCGAGTTATCGAGGATATGTCATTGATTAGGCACATAATCTAAAAGAAAATTTCTCAAATGTTGTGACATAATCTAAAAGAAATTCAATCTATTGGATTTCATATTCAATGGCTAAAAATAATTGTGACCACCTTGTACAAAAAGTAAATTATCTTATAGTACGTATCATTATCATCATCATCATAGCCTTTTTCTAATTAATTGGGTCCGGGTACACGAGTCTTGGTCCGCTATTCTGCTCTATTTAAGGTCATACTCTCAGTGAGGCCATAAGTCCCCATATATTGAGTTTTGGCAAATTTTTACCCGGGCATAAGACGGGTTAAGGGAAAATTTAAGGTCATCACCCTTCTTATACCTATGAATACAATGTTCTATGTAAAAGTGATTTGTTTCTTTTTCTTTCTTTACATCAAATTTCTTGTTCAGCATAATCAAATAATAGATGATTCTGATGAATTTTGACCAACTATGGAAGGAATATTAATATAACATAATGAAAAAGGAGTGTCTAACAAATGCTAAGTGCAATATAGAATGTTTATGATATAACATCTTACCATTCATGAACGTCACCTTGACAATTTTTACCATTAATTTGATAATTTGGCCTGATAGAATAATGAAATGAAAAGTGAGGTGTGATCATTTATTGTCATACATCAGATTCTAGGAATTTTTCTCTCACAAAAGATAAAAATGGATCAGTATGCTAGTTAAGAATCAAACTAGATGATTGGAAAACTTACCTTCTAAAATCAGATGCTCAAAGGCTATCCTCCCATAAGTTATATACAGAGGATTATCATTTTGTTCATCCGAGAGAGAGAGAGAG